AACTTCAAAGTGTAGTATAAATATTTCTGAAAATAAAACTGCTATCTATCTTTCATCATCCCTTCTTCCAATCATCATTTATTCAACGGTGAAAGGATTACATTTTAATGTCTTTCCGACAATGTGTTTGTGTCAACGTGTAACCCTCGATATCTTGTTTATAAAGACATAAATTATTTCACATTTTTGCTGCAGGTTTGTTGAAGCCATTCTCTCTTCAGACAAGTTCTGTTAAAACAGAAAAAGCGGGCTGTGACAGACAGGTCGTTGGATGATGAAAAATCTGAGAAAGACTTAAAACCTGAGTATCTAGTNCTCTGTAGATTTAAAATAAAGTTAGAAAATAAAAATTTCCAAAAATAAATATTAGCTTTTAAATTTTACTTTATTAATAATTTGTAATAATTTTCTTTAAGCATACAAAATGTTTCTGTTAAACTTTATTGATAGAAGAACTTTGACCCAAACCCTGAGGCCCCGCCCCCTGGCAGACCTCTGCTCCAATCAGGTCGTTTGACAGCAATAACTCTTGTTGATGTAAACAACCACTTCTGTACAAATAAAAACAAACAAAAACAAAGCTTAGATAGAAAACAACCCAACGAACTGAAGAGATTTCTGTACAATTCATAGTCATAAATTTATTTTGATAATTTTAGTTTTTCTTTGTTTCGTAAACTTTCTGTAACTTTAATAAAAACATCAAAAGAGAAGTTTTTCCTTGAGTTAGCGCCGCTCTGAGCTTACACAAAATATAGACTCCGCTAGTTTTACCTATGTACAGGGGAGTATTTACAGGACCAGGACCAGGGCCAGGACCAGGAGGGACAGAACCAAGACCAGGAGGGACAGAACCAGGACCAGGAGGGACAGAACCAGGAGGGACAGTCCTCAAAGGACTCTAACCTGGAGGACTTGATCCTACAGGGCCGATCCTAAAGGACTTGAATCAGGAGAACCTGACCCTGAAGAACCTGACTGAGGAGGACCAGACCCTGGAGACCACCTGTGTATCAGATCATGGAGGTCCTGGATCTGTGGGGTCTGAACTGGTTCTGTTTGGGTTAAAACAGCTTCAGCTCAGAACTGAACCAGGAGGCAGACTGCTGATGATCCATCTTTACTGGGTTTCTGAACCCGACCGGACCACCACTCATCAAGACCTTCAACCTGGATCAGAGTTCTAAACAGGGATCAGGTCTGCCAGAAACCAGAGAGCTGGAGAACCGGGTCCTGGATTCTTAAAGTCCAGTTGATGTTAGAAAAGTTTCTGGAACCCTGAACTGGGCTCGTTCAGAACTTTATTTTCAGAACAATTAAACCAAGTAAATCCCTGAAAGTTCAAATCTGATTCTACAGGGTGAAGTCCAGACTGTGGTTCTGACTTCATGTTGGATTAAAGGTCCTATCAAACCAAACCAGACCAGACCGGACCAGAATGTGGACCTACTTCTGGACTCCAGATCCAGTTGGTTCTGTTTATGAAGAAGCAGGTGCTGGTCGGACTGAAACCCTCCTGGTCTWTGGACCCGTTGGACTGTGGGAGAAGTTCTGGTTCTGGATCGGGTCGGGCTGAGCTTCAACAAACAGGATGTTTATGGTACAGATGGAGGAGAAGGTCTCGTGGACCACCAGAGCTGAGAGCATCAGAACTGTTCTGCTGGGTCTTAGTTTAGGTTTTTTAACTTTGTAAAATACAAACAAATTAATTAAACATCAAATTAAACGTATTAAAACATTACAAAGTTCTGTGGATGTAAAAAATTATAAATACTGAAGACTGACTGAGAGGAACCAACACAGTGATGTCATCAGTGATGTCATCAGTGATGTCGTCAGTGATGTCATCAGTGATGTCATAAGACTGATGACTTTCATAAACTTTGAGTCAAACTCAATCTTTCTGTGACAAAACAAAAACTTAAATTCTTTTTAAAATGTCAGAATGTGTTGTGTTATTTTTATCTGTTGTGTTGTTTTTATCTGTTGTGTTATTTTTATCTGTTGTGTTGTTTTTATC